TAGACGTCTTCAGATTCTTTCCCTCCTGATTCCTGTGACGTCTGCCCCAGCCCTTGGCACAGAGTTCAGTGGGGCCACAGGCTCTTGTCCCTCCTCAGGGACCAAAACACGCTGTGCCCCGGCTGACCCTGTGGGCATTTCTGGGCTTGGCAAGGACTCCGCATACCTCACCTCGTGCCCCACCTACCCCAACTGCCCACAGCCTGCTGGGCAGGTCTGAGGACCGTGCACAGATGAGGAAAAGGGGCCCCTGAACCTTAGGAGTCCGGCTCCAGATCCCCCCCCCCCCCCCCCGCGGGTACGGAGCTGGGCCCCTTGCCAGGAACCCTGGCCACGGCCCAGATCTCCCCCAGCTTCTCCCTGGGTGCTGTCCTCTGCAGGCACCAAGACAAAGAGCACAGGCGGGAGTCTCTGAGGAAGGCAGTCTCTGGAAGACGGACACTTCCTTCCTCATCCTGGGGATCTGGGCAGTCTTCTTCCCAGTAACCAGAGAGAATTCTTCCCAGCTCACCGCCCCACCGGCGCTTTCCCGGCTTCAGTGGGAGAGGGGCGGGGTGGGCGGGGAGGGCTGGGAGGGCAGGCTGTCAGGAGGGACCCCAGGAGCAGGTAGGGGAGGTGTCACAGCCAGGCGGCTGGCCCGGGTCACCCAAAGGCCCCGGCGCCTGCGTTGACATCACCAGTGCCCTATGGGGACATGCCGTCTCCACACAGCCTTCCCAGGCTCTCACCACAACAGGCGAGGGGGCGGGGCCGGAGCCTTGGCTCCCTGTGCTCTGCGTCCCTCCCTCCCGGTCACTGGGCTGGAAACACGAGCTGAGCAGCGTCAACAGTTCCTCGAATTGTGTTACGGCCGTGCCTGCCAGCTCCGGAGCTAATAATATGAACAGATGTGGGTCACGCAACTCCATCCCCTGGCCTGGATCCTGCCTGACCCCGTGACCCCAGGCCTGCAGCCGGGTGGGCTCCGTCCAGGGCTGGGGTCCTGGGGTGAGGCTGGGTCCAGGAGGGACCTGCTTGTGCAGAGCCCGCCCCAGTCAGGCTGAGAGCCCATAGACTCCACGGTGGCCAGGGACGGCAGGAAAGACCAAACTGAGTTCTGTAGGATGATGGCAATCGCAATAAAAAACAGTCAATGATCCACACGAAAATTGCTTCTTTATGTATAATTTTAAAATCATAACAAAACAAAAAACGAAAAAGGAAACAATGTCCTTTGCAGCTGAGGCTTGCAGCCCCATCCCAGGGTTGTGTGGCCAGTGCTCCGGAGCTGAAGGGTCGGGGAGGCCGAGGCCCAGAGCTGCTGTGACCTCTCCCACCGGCTCAGCCCACGTAGCACCTGCAGCCAGGCGGGTGGTGGCAGTGGAGGCTGGCTGACCTCCGGGGCCAGGCTGCCATCCTCGGCTTCCGGGGCCACAGGTAGCAAAGCGGCCAGGGCAGCGTGGGGCAGCCAAGGCTCAGAGCTGGCTGCGCCCAGGGGTGGGCGGTGCCACCTGGCAGAGGCCTGAGTGCCGGGAGAGAGCATCCTCTTCTGCTCGCCAGGGCGGCGATGGCTCCGGACCGGGATCAGAGGTCGCCTCGCCTGAGCACTGTTTATGGTTCTCACGGGGGACGGAGGGGGGGAAGGGAGACGGGCATTGCAGCAGGACTCTGCCTCCCCCGCGAGGCAGGGCGGGCGGGCCCCGCTCAGTGCTCACGTACCCCACAAGAGACTGTGCCGCCTCCCACGGTCCAGCCGGATGCCCCTGGTGGGCACACCTCACGTGAGCCCTCTCAGGCCTGGGAGAAATGACCCTGGTTCTTGTGCGAGTTTATGGCTGCAAAACCCTCTCCAGGGCTGACTCAGGCAGGGTGGGTGAGGTGGAGAAAGCCGCGGAGGGACAGCATGAGGAGCCATCACAAATGGGTGGGCACCTTCTTCCTTCAGCAGTGCTCATGGAGGGTCCCCCTGCCCCCCACATACACACCCCCCTGTGTCGTGTCCAGGCCCTGGGCTGCAGCACTGACAAAGACAGGCGGCCCGGCAGGCCTTGCTTCCAGGGCGTGAAGCCTTCCCCTAAGAGCTGCAGGGACAGCACCAGCAGGACGCTGAGGCGGGCCATGGGGACCCGGGCAGGCTCCTCGGAGGAGCAGCAGGGCGGCTGCTGGCTGAAGGTACTGGGGCCACTGGGTGGAGGAGCTCCCACAGGCAGCGGTCAGAGCAGGAGGCCCTGCCAGCCACCCGGGACCAGGAAAGGGACCTCGCTGTGTCCCTCTGGCCCCCTCGTTCCCATGGGTGAGGAGAGGTCGCCAGCATCCTGCTGTGCTGCCCAGTCTCTTGGGCCCCTCACTGTGTGCATGGGGGGGAGGGGGGGAGGAGAAGGGTGGCAACAATCAGTTAGGGAAGAGGGGCTGCTGACCACGTGCCCCGACCAGCACCAGCTCCACCGGGCCCTCACCCTGCCCTTCGGGGGCCTCTGTGTAGACCACGCAGCCCAAGGGGAAGGGGAGGAAGGCAGACACGGTGCGCAGTCAGGCCTCACACTCCTCCCAGGCAAACCCCAACTCCCGGGCCCTGGGAGGGCGGCTTGAACACGGGGGTCCCAGAGAATGCGTCTCCCGTACCCCTTGTCTGTCTGGTTCTGGACCTTTATTTCCCACTCAGATGGCTGTGGGGCTATGGAAGCAACAGGAGGCCCGGGCCCTGTTCCTGGGGCAACACCCCCCCCCGGTCCCCCCTGCACCCAGCGCCCCGCTCCCCCCCAGTGCCCACGCCTCGCCTCTGCTTGCCCTGCCAGCCTCTCTGAGCGCAGGGCTCCTTGTCCACTCGTTCCCAGTGACGGTCTTCCTCTGCTCATGCCACCGGGTGTGACTGGCAAGGTGACAGCTACGGCCTGGGGACCTGGCCTGGGTATTGTTCCCTCAGCGTGGTCACTTCCCCATGTTCCCCGCTGCAGGACGTGGCTCACCGTGACCCCTCCAGCCAAGCACCCACCCCACCCCAGCCCTGTCCTCACGCCCACCTCCTTCCCAGAGGCCCGTTCCTTTATCAAGAGGCCCCAGCGGGCCAGCCGGTGTGGCTCAGTGGTTGGGAGTAGATCCATGTGGTTTCGAACTAGATCCACAGCAGGGGGCATGCAGGGAGGCAGCCAATCAATGTTTCTCTCTCACCGATGTTTCTAGCTCTCTCCCTTCCTCTCTAAAATCAATAAAAACACATTATAAAAAAAAAAAAAAAAGAGTCCCCAGCCAGAGCTGCTGGCCCCTGGCACCTGCTCCTGGCCACACCAGGTTTGTGTGTGTCCGTCCCCTGAGCTCCGGGGTCTGTTGAGCTCTGGCTTCTCACCTCTGTGGCTTCCGTGCTGGAACGGGACTGGACAGGCAGCTGGTGGGTCAGCTCCTCTGTGTTGACTGAAGGCAGAGGCTTCCTCTGAACCGGACACCGAGTGGTGACCCTTCTTACCACAGCCCAGGAGGAGACAGGAGACTGAGGCAGAGGGAGGCTGAGGGACAGGCCCAGGGCCAGCGGGGCGCGGGAGCCGGCCGGGCAGGGAGCTGTGGGAGCCACAGGGACACCGGCCGATGCCCTGGCTGCCTGCTGGGAGTTACCCAGCTCTGGGGACTGCCCTGCACGCCTGGCAGGCACCTTTGCCATCGCTGGGAGGGGGGTGCGCCTGCTCCCACGGCGGCTCCCCCCAGCCCCAGCCCCTCGGCGAATCCCACTTTCCGCAGCGGGCCCTTCCCCCGTTCTGAATGCAGGGCTCCCGCCCCGCTGCTTGGCACAAAGGGGGGTGAGCTGCTGAGAACAGTGGGCTGTTGGGCGAATGTCTGCGGAATGATGGCTTTGGGAGACAGGCAGCCAGCTCCTCGGAGAGCCGGCCACGGCCTCCACGCCTGCTTCCTGCCTCGCCCAGGTGGCATGGCGTGACATCGCGTGAGCGGGCCGAGTCGCTCCAGAGCTGACACTGTGTCCCGGTCTGTTTGCGGAGCCTTGGCACCGCTCTTGGCGTGTCTCCCCTAGAAAGCCGGGGCTTTGCCCAGGCGCCTGGGGGGGGATGAGGTGCCCGCTGGGCCGGGCTGCGTGCTCCTGGAGTCCGGGGCAGCCCGGGATGGGGAGATAAGCTGGCAGGTCCCGGAGCCTGGACGGACGGCAGGCCCTGCCACCTGACAGGGCGGGGACACTTGTCAAAGGCTCTTTTCTGCAGCGAACAGTGGAGTCTGTCCCGCCCTCCGGCTGGCTGAGCTGCAGGATGCAGGCGGGCGGGGGGATGGGTTGGGTAAATGGGGGCGGCAGGGACCGCCCTGCCAACGGCAGCTAACAAGTGGCAGCTCGCAGGCCGGGCAGGGCGGGCGGCGGTGACCCCGCGGGGCAGCCAATGGGCGCCCGGGCTGCGGTGGCACCACCGGGCAGCGGCCTGCCTTTGGCTGCGCGGCAGCGGGAGGGGCCTCGGGCCGCCAGTCAGGGCCGCGGGCGCTGTCTCCGGGAGGCCCGGGCAGATCTGCCGCTCGCTCCATTCACGGGAGCCCACTGGAGCCGCCTCGTTTTAGCTTTTCCAGCCCTCGGGGGCAGGCGGGCAGGCTGAGGGGGCGGTGTGGGGAGGACGACGGGAGGACTGCGGCCAGAGGTGTAAAGGGACTGGGAGAGCTGTCCCCTGGCCCTGAAGAGCGGGCTGGAGCTCCGGGCTGAGAAGGGAGATTCGGAACCGGTTTGCTCACCGCAGGCTGCTGGGCTCGAAGGGCGGGAGGAAGCAGGGACAGGGGGAAGCAGAGGCTGTGATGGTCCCAGTTGACAGCCCAGGGCCATGGGAGACCCCCGGGTCCTGGCTTGAGTCCCTTACCCTTCGCCTGGATGGAGTCAGCCCTGGAACACTGGTGACCCAAGTGGCTGTCAGCTGGGGCCTGGATGAGGGAGACATTCAGGCTGGTCGCCCAAACTCCTTGTAGGATGTCATAGCAACAGGTGCTTGTGGGACCCCCGCCCCAAACATTAGCCCCCTTGCTCAATGAAGACCCACCACAGCCAATCACATAATAAACATATTTATAGATGTACAATTTCAGAATTCTAATTCAAGAAATACAGCTTCTCGGGGATCCTTTGGGATCTATGTTCTTATTGCACATGGCTCAGCCCGTCTGGGGACAGCTGCCAAGGCCAGCCGCCAGGGCGGTGGGGCAGAGCACCAGGGCTGCCTGGCGGGCACTCCTGCCCACGTCCAGCTCTTAGCCTCTCTCTGGGCCGGGCGGCCGCGTCCTCACAGGGCAGGATCTTGTTCCGAAACCAGAGCTGACATTTCTTGACCAGCTTCCTTTCCCAGAAAGAATCCTGCTCGTTGGGGACTTTACAAAAGGAGCCAGGAGGAACTCCGGGAGGGCGGCTGCCTCCTCGCTGGCAGCGTGGGGAGTAAGGCTTCGGGAGATGGCAGGCTCGATGGTTCACCCAGCGCCAGGGGACAGTCCGGGAGGAGAACGGCAGTTCCGAAAGACCCAGCCGAAACTGGGAATAAATAAAACCCCCCTCTCTCCCTGGCAGCAACTGCTGTTTGGAGAGAAAAAAATCCTCATCTGAAGGTGAGGACGAGGACCCTTCTGTCCAGATGCGTCCTTTGTCCCAGGGGCAGAAGGCAGGCGGCGTGTCCGCGGAGGCAGAGACAGAGACAGAGGTGTCACAGGCCCTGGCTTTCTTCAGGTGTCAGCTGCGGCCTGGGGTCTGGACCAGCTGGCTGACTCTTGGAGGAAGAGCCCTCTGGAGTCGTCGGTGTGCGACTCAGGAAAAACCAGTGGCAACATGGAGCTGTGCCCTGTGGCACCTATAAGGCAAGACTCACTCAGGGATGGGGTGAGGGGGTGGCTGGGCAGAGCCTGGTCCCTCTTCCAGCCTCGCTCTCTGTGGCAGGAGGTCAGGGGGCTCCTGGGCACCAGGACAGAGCCCGTCCGAGCTGGCCGGAGCTTCAGGTGGATGGTCTCACCCCAGAGGCTGCCTGGGGCCTCTCCCTCAACTCAACCCTGACCTGGCCCTGGCCTTCAGGGCCCTCTCTCCTCTCCAGCCTGACCGTCAGCCTGGCGTCTTCAAGAGCGTCCTACGACTCACACCATCATGATTGCTGCTGCCATCCAAGCCAGGCTGGATTGAGGGGAATGTTAGAAGCTCTGACCGACTGTCCTTCTGTCGAAGGACCAGGCTGCCTTCCCCAAACAGTCCGTCTTCTAAATCAGGGAAGAAATCAGCTAAACAATCCACCAAATCCCTGCAGTTTACAAAGTAGACTATATATATCTATATATATCTTTATATGTGCTATTTACATATAAATAGATATATATACATATACACGCATCTATAAATTACATTTCTGGAAAGTTCTCTGTCCTCCTCCTCCTCCTCTCTATCCTCGGCCTACGCCTCTGCCTGGATTCCTCTGAGGTGACTGGTGGTGGCTCCTGGGAGGGGGAGAAAGGCAGTGGGGTCCCCTCCCCCAGCCCTTCCCGGAGACATTTGCTAAGTTTTACATTCTGCTTCTGTTGCCATGGTTTCTGTATCCTAGGAGAGCGATGTGCAGCCCGCGCCTCGGCCAGCCCGGGAGGGAGGGAAGCAGCAGGCAGGTGTCCTGGCTGTCCTAGAGCTTCCTGCACGGACTGGGTGGGAGAGAGGACAGTTGTGTGGCGTTCGGCCTCCAGTCCATTTTAATGTTTTTTCCTTTTTTATGTCTTTCCTGAAATATACAGTTCATCATCACCTTGGCTCAGTGCATGTCACCAAAAATTCTCCAGGGATTTCACGGTCTGGGGAGGAGAGGGGACAGTTAGCGCGCAGTCACGTGTCCAGGGCCTCTAGCTCAGCCACAGCACAGGCAGCCTCCTCGCCACTGTCTTTCCCTCCTGAGCTGCCCCCACTGCCCTCCCGCAGTCTGTCCCCTCTCCCAAGGCACAAGCGAACGGCCTCCAAGCAGAGTCAGTCTGTCCCTGGGTCTCTGCTGAGGGGACGCAGACAGAGGGATGGACAAGGCACCGACACGAAAAGGACCGTTCCCGGCCCTGCCCACACTCCTCTGGGCTTGGTCCGAGCCGTCCCCTCTGGCAAGTGCTGGAGCAGAGCCCATGCCCCCACTCGGGGCAAAGGAGGCAGGCCGTCTGATGCCAGCATTTCATCCCCGCCCTCCGGTGCCGGGGCTCTGCATTCGCCCGACCGCACGGCCGCCTGTCCCCCTTTCAGACCACAGGGGAGAAGCTGGGCGGCGGACACCGGTGGCTCCCAGGCGGCAGTGCAGTAGCATGAGAGACGGCGACAGAGAGACAAGAGAAAGACTGACAGACGAGAGAGACACAGAGAGGCAGCCTCTGATCTGCCAGAGGGAGCGGTCAGGTGACAGCCTCTCCTGTCCCAGCCTGATGGCTCCTCCCTGCCCTCTGCTGGGCTCCCATCCTGTTCCACGTCCTGCTGCCCAGAGAGCAGAGGGAGAGGGTCCCACAAGGCTCTCCCTGTGGGGGCTCTGTGGGCCCAGGGCTATTCGGTGGCTTGAACACCGGGTGCAGACAATAGTCTGCTGCACTGGGGGAGGGTGTGGTGACCAGATGGCTGGAGCAGACCAAGGAGGCCCAGTGGCTCTCAGCAGCAACCTTGTGCTCCCCTTCTGCTTGGGTACCCCACATTCCAGCTTCAGCCCAAGCCAGGGAGTAGGGGGAAGGGGGGAAGGGTACAGGCCTGAAGCAGACCCCAGTTTCTAAGCACACCCCAGAGCTGCCTCAACTTTGCAGCTGGAGGTCAGGCTGGGGACAAGGGGTCTGTGCCATCACACGAGGCTCTCCCCCTCCTCCGCTCGGCTGCCTCAGACCAGGGCCAGAGCAGCTGGAAGTGCAGGGCAGGGGCGGCCCTGGCTCATACTTGGACCTCGGTCGGTGGCCGGCCCGGGACTATCCATGCAGGGAGGCCTGCACCTCTGACAGTCGGCTGCAGCTCGGGGTGCTCATCCTCTGTGCTTTGTGGTACATGTCTGTGTCGCCGAAGTAGCGGGCCCGGTACAACAAGCCTTCCTCTGCAAAGCAATGGGGCAGGGTTAGGGCACGCCCGGCGCCTCCTGAAGCCTGCTAGGGCGCCGTCTGCTCTGGGGACAGAGGGAGGGCTGTTACAGGCCCAGGAGCTGGGACAGAGGACCTTTAGGGAGGACCCTGAAGGAGCAGAGACTGGTCCCAACGAGGGGCAGGGACAGTGGCCCCTTTCGTTAGAGTGGGGGTGAGGCCAGCCAGGGTCAGAGCCTGTCCTCCTGGCCAGGCCTCCCCCAGGTCCACAGAGAGCCGGTGCCCAATCAGTGGTGCCCCGAGATCTGGGCCAATCCCTGTGGACACAGGCGCCTCTGGCAGCGCCTCACCGGACCTGGAGGAGATCCCCAGGGAATCGGGGCGGAGCCAGCTCTGCGCTGGGCTGGCTGGCACGGGCAGTGCCAGGTGCTGGGCCACAGCGCCGGGTGAGGAGGGCGGTCTCCTTCCTGCCCCCGAGCCCCGCGCCCGCCGGCCGCTCACTCTGCTGCTTCTCCTTCCAGCAGTTGTTGCGGAGGTTGGCGATGTAGTCGTCTTCCACGTTGCGCTCCACCGTCTTCAGGCTGGAGCCCGTGTACTCCGCGGAGAAGGTGTCGGCCACGTAGTAGACGACGTTCAGGTGGTCAGTGACGCGCCTGTGGACGTGGCCCACCGACCTGCAGGAATACCGGCACCGTGTGGGCCCGGCCGGCCCGGGGCAGCTCTGGGGACGCGAGCCCCGATGGGACACCCAGGCCACGGGGGCGGTCACCTCACTCCCAAACGAGCGCAGGAACTTGCACCACACACTCCAAGTGGGGTGTCCTTCCTGCACGAATTGCCCAGCCCACGGCCAGCCCTCCCCGGGCTCCCTGTGCCCCTGTGGACGTGGGGGCCACTGGGGAGAAGTCCCTTTCTGAGAGGCCCAGTCCGGGAAGCAGGGAGCCTGGAGTGAGTCTGGTTCTCTCTGATGAGCTGTGTGGCTTGAGCAACCTGGGCCTCCAATTCTTGCTGAGGGCCTGCCTGCCTAGAAGGGTTAGGGTTAAGAGGCTCAGAAGCAAACTGACAGGAAGGATTCCAAGGAGTTGTATTTTTCCAGCTCTTGGGTTCTATAGTCCAACTCCAACTGCAGGCTCCCAGGCTGTGGGAAGAGCCTCAATTCAGACAGGAGCCGGTGCTCCGGGGAGGACGGCCCTGCCGGCCCACTGCGGCCGGTCACCGCTCCAGCTGCGGAGGAAAGCCTGCCATCGGCCAGAGGACTGTGCGGCTGGGGTGGGCCCAGTAGCCCGACGCTGCCCCCTGCTGGCTGAGAGGATGCTGCCAGGCAGCTAGATGGGAGCGGAGAGCTTCCACCAATAAAACCTAAGTACCCACTCGGTCTCAGTACAATCAGGTACCAGAAGTGAGGGGTGCTGACACCTTAAACTAGGGGTGTCGAACTCAATCAGAGAAGGGGCCAAAATCTAAAATCCAGCCTAAATCGCGGGCCGAATGGTTTACTGAACAGTCATAAACTGTCATTGTGATGGAAACACAGCGGAGTGCAGTGATGACATCGCGGTGCGGGCCACATTGCAAGGCCTGGTGGGACGGATTTGGCCCGCGGGCCTTGTGTTTGACACATGTGCCTTAAACAGTCAAATAAGTTGCCCAAGTTCACTACTGGTAGTTGGGACCATAAGTTTATTCAACAAATACTGTTGAGTATTTCCAATGAACCTGGCATTTTACGTGTATTACTCATTTAATTTTCACAAGCAGGCAGATGTTCCCATTTTACTGGTGAGGAAACCAAGGCTGAGAGAAATGACTTAGCTTGCCCATAGTCATACAACTGCTTAGTAAAGGAGCTGGAATTCAAAGCCAGCCTTGCTCTGAGTGACTCTAAAGCCCCATCCTGAACAAAGAGCAGAGATTCTTATCTCAGGGTTCTTATCTGGCAGATAAGATGGGTGTGTGTGGGGGTAGGAGGGGCGTTATAAAGCCTACGGAATGATATGCAAAACTGTGTATGTGAAGGTTCCAGGATAAATCTGCTGTTTTCACTGCATTTTCTTGCGGGGCCCTGATCCTAAAAAAGATCAAGAACTTCTACTCAACAGGGAAAATGTATTTTCTTGATCTAAGCCAGCTTTCTGCTTTATGACCAAGAGCCTGCAGGGTGGGAAAGAAGTCACCCTGATGGTGACTGAAACTCCACCAGGTCCCCCTCCGCCCACCCCGGGGTCGCCCCGCAGCTCCAGTACTCACGGCCGTGGGCTCAGACTGTAGGGCGGACTGGAGACCATGAGCTGGCTGAGAGCCGACACGAGGATCAGGATGAGGATGGGCATCAGCTGGACAAACACCCCCAGTCCGCCCTGGAGGGAAGAGCCAATGGTCACCCAAGCCAGCCCTGGGGGGGGGGGGGTCCGGTGTCCGCCACCATCACCGCCAGCTCCCCCAGCTCAGGGGCCCAGGTGGCGGAAGGCAGTTACACAAAACAGGCCTTGACACCACTCCCTACTCCCTCCCAATACAGAGGCCCCTCCACCGGCCACCTTCCCCAGATAAAAACAAAACAGCCCCTGGTGTCACATACACTGGGGAAAGGATGCCAAAAAATGAGCAAAGTGGCTGCCTCCAGAAATGGGGGCCAGAGACCTTTCTGAATTTGAAACCATTCGGATATATTACCAATTTACAAACCGCCAGTTAAAAAGCCATAAATAAAAATAAAGTTGTTCACTGTGTGATAATTTGTAATTTAAAAACTCTTCTATATGTTAATACACACAAAATTAAAGTTTAAAGATAAACAAAAACAGCCAAGACCGGTTTGGCTCAGTGGATAGAGCGTCGGCTTGGGGACTGAGGGACCCGGGTTCGATTCCGGTCAAGGGCATGTACCTTGGCTGCGGGCATATCCCCAGTAGGGGGTGTGCAAGAGGCAGCTGATCGATGACTCTCTCTCATCGATGTTTCTAGCTCTCTATCTCTCTCCCTTCCTCTCTGGACAAAATCAATAAAATATATTAAAAAAAAAAAATAATAAATAAAGATAAACAAAAACATAAGGCCACATTGTCATAATGTTAAATGCTCCGCAGCTGTCCATAGTTTTAATGTTAGCTAGCTGTTCTTGTGGCCCTCAAAACGCGCTGGAAGCACGGTCTTGATACGGCTTTTACATCCGTTTTTCAGTGTTGTAAAGACAGAGCCAGCACCAACGTGAACTGCACAAAGGCTGTTCACACTCGAACCTGCCTGTAGGTGGAAAACATCCCGCATTACATTCTCCAAGAGGCCACGAGTCCCCTCTCCTCTGGGCAATGTGGACTGTGGCTCCCTCTGGTGTCGCTCAGAGGAATGGCAAGGGAGGCCCAAGATGGCTCCTCGGCTGAGGGTTGTGGGACCAGAACAGACAGCTGAGCACGCCCCTGCCCCTCAGGCCCCCTCCCCTCGGCTCCAGCACCCCCTCACTCACGTCCCCCTGGTTCTCCCTGCGGTCCTGCCTCTGCTGGTAGTTGTAGCGCATCCGGCCGTTGCTGTAGACGTGCACGTTACCTGCGGGCGGAGGGGCCGAGTCAGGGGGACTGCGGGAGAGGGAGAGGCTGCACCCAGTCTCCCACCAGCACCCTGGGGAAGCCTGGCTGTGGGGAGGGAGGCGGGGACTTACTGGACGGGAAGCCGCCGCCAAAGAACATGTTGAAGAGGTCTTCGGGGGAGATGTCGGCCTCAAAGCCACGGTGGAAGTCCCCGTGGCCGTGGCCATGCCGGGCCGCCTGGCTCTTGTCATCACCGAACTGGTCGTACTGCTTCCTCTTCTCCGGGTTGCTGAGCACGGCATACGCTGTGCCGATGGCTAGACAGGAGGGAGAAGGGTCGGGTCTGGGGGCGCTGGGGGGTGGGTGACACAGCTCCCTGGCAGCCTACAGCTCACTTCCCTCGGGTGCAGAGCTGCTGGAGGCGGGTCCGTGGCCGGAGTGGGCGGCGGGCAGGAAAACCGCTCCGTGAACCTGGGCAGCCTGGGGGTTCACACTCAGGCTCCCCGCTCTCCACCTCAGGAGAGGCCAGCCTTTCCCACACACCAGGCCTCTGCGGGCATTATCCCAGTGACCCTGACAGCCACCGTCTCCATCGTACCAGCGGGCAAGCAGACTAGAGAGGCGGAGCGGAGTCGCAGAGCCAGGAGGCAAACCCAGGGCTGGCTTCAAGTCCTCCTGACTTTATGAAAACCACCCCGTCCCGCCCCCTCCTCTCCCGAGGGGCCGGGTGGCCTTCCTCTGAGGAGGGCATGTCATCCTGAGGTGCCAGGGCGGCCTCAGGGCCGAGCAGACACGTGAAGCCTGCTTGCCAACTGGGGGCCGGGGAACCGCAGGGCCAGGCTCCGGGAGGCGGGGCTGCTCCTGCGGGGGGTGTGGGGGCGAGGAGCCCTCTTCCCGGTCCGGTCCCAGCTGCCGCTCCTCTGCCGGGCATCTCTGCGGGCACCGGGCCTCCAGGAGAGCTCCCCAGGCGGGAGGCCTGGGCTCGAGCCCAGCTCGGGCCTCCCGAGTCTCCCGCTCCCGCTCCGGCGGCCTCTCTCACAGGAGCGGGTCACAGCTGCTTCTGCTTCCGAGTCTGGACCCCGAGAAGAAGGAGGATGCCCCCTCCTCCCAAGGAGGGTGGGGGTAGGCGGCAGGCAGAGGCGGGGCTGGAGTAAGGGGAAGCCATTTGCTTCCTTACTCCCCTTCGCCTTCTCCTTCCGGGCTGACTGACAGGCCGCAGGGGTGAGGGGGGTGGGGTAGGGCTGTGTGCAGCCTGCAGACCGCTCCATGCAGGCCTGACCCCAAGGAGCCGCTGGTCCTTTCTCCTCGGCCCCTCCTCTAACCCAGGGAACGAGGAGGTGGGGAGGCAGGAGGGGCCCTCTGAGCTGACAGGCTGGGGCTGAGGTGGCTCCTAGGACCTTCTTCCAGGAAGCAGCCCCTGAGCCGCAGGACGTGGGTCTGAGGCCGTCGCCTGGAAAAGCCCCTTATTCTCGCCGAGGACGAGACAAGAACACGGGCTCACCTTTGAAGGCCTCGGTGGCGCCGGGCGCGTGGTTCTTGTCGGGGTGGAACCGGAGGGCCAGCTTGCGGTAGGCCTTCTTCAGGTCCTCCTCGGAGGCGCCTCTGCTCACGCCCAGGATCTCGTAGTAGTCTTTGCACTGCTTCACCCTGGGGAGGGGCCGGGCCGTGAGGGGAGGCGGTGAGCAGGCTCGGGGGCACAGGCGGACAGATGGGGGGTGAAGGGAGCCGCAGAAAGCGCCCACTGGGCTGGGACCTGGGCCGGCCCCGGGGAAACGGTCAGGGTGTAAGAGGGGCGGCTGCTGTGTCTGCCAGACCGGAACCACCTCTCTTGGCTAACAGCACCCTCCCTGCGGGCGACCTCACGAGGACTGCCAGTCACGGCTCTGCCCACGGGCAGGTGTGCCCACACACGGCCAGCTACCCCCTCTCCTGGCAATGAGTCCTGAATGGGCAACACAAAGGCCATGGCAGGTCGGCTCACCCCTCCTCAGGGCCCCGAAGAGACCCTGATTCTTGGACTTTTTCCAGCACTCGTAACTCCCCGCAATCAGTTCCTACTGCTGCCCCGTTTGGTCAGGATAATGTAAATCTGGCACGTTTTTGGGACAAACTACAGTGTGCTGCGGCACCGCAGGCTGAACCCAGTGCCGAGGCTGGCTGAGGCCTTCACAGCAGCGGGGCTGGGGGGCCTCGGGGAGCCGGCCAGCGAGCGGGAGGCCGAGGGCAGAGCCTGAGGAGCAGCCGGGCCAGCGCGGCCTGGAGGGGAGCTGCTCCGAGGCCGCCCCGGCCTCGGAGGGATCAGTCTCCCGTCTCCCCCACAGCTCCGGTCTGAAAGGGGCTTTGGTGGGGGTGGGGCTGTGGGCTGGGGAGACCATGCCCGTCTCGGTGTGACAAACAGAGCTGTGTGAGGCGGCCAGGCCCGCGGTGTCAGCATTTCAGCCCCCGCCGTGGGCTGTCCTGGCGGGAGGGGACGGCGGAGCCGGATGCCCAGGGCCGTGTGGGAAATGGGGAGTGGGCCCGGTGAGCCCGACCACTTGGACCCGCCCCATCTTCAAGGCCGTCCCAGGGCCACCCAGACACAGGCAGACGTGAGGGGCAGGACGCCCCTGCGGTGAGGCCTGCTCTGGACCTGAATCCACCCCCGCCCCAGCCCGCCAGGCCCGCCTCCTACCTCTTCACGGCGGCCACCTGGTCCGCGGTGTAGCCTTTGGTGGGCTCCCCTCCTCCTCCTCCGCCTCCTGCCTCGCCATTGGCCGAGGGGGCGTCGGACCCACTTGCTTTCCTACGGGTGGCATGGGTCGTGTCTGTGGGCTGGGGCTGGTCGCCGGTAGACGGTGGTTTCTGGTTGAGGGACTCGATCAGGCCTGTGCGAGGCAAGGCCACATGTCACGGCCGAGGGACCACCTGATCCCGGGGGAGGCCAGGTCCCCACCCCCGCCTGCTTATCCTCCCAGCAGAGCCGCTGGCTTCTTGCCTGACTCCAGCCTGTGGGGGCCCTGCTCTCTCAGGGCCCAGGCCTCAGGAGCCAGCAGGGTATATGTAGGTCACTTTAAACTCAGCATAAAAACAAACTGTTTTTTCTTCTTTCCTGTTCCCAAAATAAACTATTAATACTTCAGATCTCTTAAATCCCAAAGCAGTGTGTTCCACGGCCGTCCTCTGAGGGCTGAGACGGCGAAGCACCTGGCAGAGGGGACGGGACCCTCCTGGTGGCCGGTGCGCACCCCTGAGGAGGAGGGAGTGGGGCAGTGAGTGTGCCCGGGGGTCGGGACTGACATCTGCTGTTCTTACGTTTTCAAACAGCCACCATGTCCAATGTCCTATCAGCGCTCAGAGTCTACAGAGACCACAGCTGTCCCCTCAGACAGGGTCACGGTTATTCACACTCAAGCCGGAAGTCCCCTGTGCCCATTTATTTCAGACGCAAAACCGCTCCTGCACCCTGCGAAGCCGGGGGAGTGTCCTGGGACACCAGGCCTTGACCACCGCAGGGACCAGGACACCTCTGTGCTGAGAGGGACAGCGGCACGGCCCGCTGCTCCCCGACCTTCTGGGCTCAGGGCTCCGTGCTGGCTGTCAGCGCCTGGTCTCACCCAGGGCCGGGCCAGGGCACCAGGACTCAGTGTGCCCTGAGCCACCGCCGCCTTAGTTGCACAAATTCACTACCTTACCGAGTCAGCAGCGGCGAAACCCACACACGGGAGGGAGGCGCAGGGTTCCCGTGGCAAACCCTGAGTGCGCGCTCCGAGAGGAGCGATGGCCATGAGTGCTCACTGGCTCAGGCGGGACGGGACACAGCGCTCTGCATGTATCAGCTCAGCTAGTCCTCCCAGCGGCCTTCCAGGGAGGGCTGATCGCCACCCTTCCCCCCGCACACACTGTAAGGAGCGGCTGCGTATTTGATCAGCTGCACAAGCTGGTAGGCAGGACTTGAACCCCAGGATGCCCAGCTCATGGGACCTTGCTCTGCACATGCTGGTATCTGGGACCGCACAGACCTGGCGGGGGAGCCCCTTCCAGAGAAGTTGAATTCAGAAAGACCCAGGTTTTGCCCTGGCGGGTAGCTCAGTTGGTTAATATGCCAACACTGTGGGTTCAATCCCCGGTCAGGGCACATACAAGAATCAACCAATGAGTGCAACTAAATGGGACAACAACAGGCAGCTTTTAAAGCAGTTTCTCTCTCTAAAAATCAATAAGTTAAGCCGAAACCGGTTTGGCTCAATGGATAGAGCGTCGGCTTGGGGACTGAGGGACCCGGGTTCGATTCCGGTCAAGGGCATGTACCTTGGCTGCGGGCATATCCCCGGTAGGGGGTGTGCAAGAGGCAGCTGATCGATGACTCTCCCTCATTGATGTTTCTAGCTCTCTATTTCTCTCCCTTCCTCTCTGAACAAAATCAATAAAAAAATATATTTAAAAAAAATAAATAAATAAATAAAAAAAAATAAAAATCAATAAGTTAAAACCACCAAAACAGAAAGACCCAGGCTTCAAACCTCAGCTCAGCCAAATCCTAACAGTGTGCGCCGGCCCACCTGCGAGACCTTTCTGGCTGTCCTCACAGGGGTGTGGGATGAAATCCCGTGTGTGAGCACCGGCAGGGACACTGACACGGTAACCGTTCAAAACGATAGCTGCTGATACGGCCTGGCCGCCGAGCTGCTGGCCAGGAAGATGAGGGGCCCGGGCGTGGAAACGGGAGACCACGGCGAAGGAAGGCAGCTCAGCACTCGGCGGGCTTTGGACCAGACGTAACGTGACGTTTCAGGTTGTCCCTGCCGCCAGGTCCACGCAGGCACCAGGGAAATGGCCACGCAGAAAACTAACAGAGGAAGGGATGCTGATCAAGACGGGCGGAGGCAGGAAGCTTGGTTCGCTAGGGATACTTTTTCGGGGCTTTTAAAGAAGTCGTTCATTTCAATTTCTCTGGAAGCCCCAGTGGTCGGGGCTAATCAACTAACAGGGGTCAGCAAACTCATTAGTCCACAGAGCCAAACATCGACAGGGCGACGATTGGAATTTCTTTAGAAAGCCAAATTTTTTAAACTTAAACTTCTTCTAACGCCACGTCTTCAAAACAGACTCGCCCGGGCCGTGGTCTTTTGTGGAAGAGCCACACCCAGGGGGCCAAAGAGCCGCGTGTGGCTCGCGAGCCGCAGTTTGCCGACCACAAACTCAGAGATGGAACTCTCTCTAGTACTTCTCAGGGAAGCTTCTGGAAGCTTCTCAGGGCAGTTACATGGGTCAGCCACTCTACTTTCTCTATGCTGCAGAGAGAGAGCCCGCAGGGAAGCAGGTGTGCTCGGGGTCAGACAGAAGGTTCCCGTCTGAGCGGGAAGTGAAAGTTGCTGGTGGCTGACAAGCAGCCTCTCGGAGGCCTGGACGCCCCCTCTCAGGCCCAGGGCTGTGACTGGCTGCTCCTGACTCGCTGTTACATCCCTCACCGCAGTGCTGACAGGAGACGGTCACAGAGAGTAGAGAACAGCGTGATGTGAATCTGTAGACAGACAGACATGGCTGGATCCACATCCCGATTCTGCTCCTTCCCAGTACAGCCAGCAGACATTTACAAAGAGGGGAACTGGCAGGAGAAACCAACTGGGAGAGGGGGCAGCTGAGGTGGAGGTGGAAGCATTTCTATAGCCAAAGCCACCAGCAGGGCCCCCCTCAACCCCCGACTGGAGAGCCAGGCGGCCCGGGTTCAAACCTGGCTCTGCCGCATGCTGGCGAGGTCACTGTGGACCAGTTAGCGCAGCTTTCCCTCCGAAGAGGCATCTTCCTTGAGAGAGTTAATAGGGTAAATGAGTAAATGCATCTAAAGAGCTTTGCACAACTTCCAGCAAACATTACTTCTCTCTCCAGGCTCTACGTGCCTGCAGTGTTCAAAGTGCACTGGGAAAGGCGGCCGAGGGAGCGTCTGGGAGGGGAGCTAGGCAGTCTGGTTCCTTTGCTGATTATCATGTAGCCTTGCCAGGTTCTCTGACTCCTCAGTGAAGATAGGATCTCCACCTTCTCAGGCTGCGCTGCGGGTAAAAGGACTCAGTGAAATCAGGGGGATGGAAGCTTTGAGCAGACAGTGAGGTTCATGATGGCTGACCGACTTAAATGGACAGCCCCACCCGAGACCTCACCAGTATCGGAGCATCTCTGTCCTAGACTCCGAGTGCCAGTATCTCTTGAAAACAAGCCCTCCCCGGTCCCTGAGTGGGCCTTCCACCTTGGCCCTCCTGACTTATCCTGGACCCAGAGGCTGACATCTCAGGAGTTCAGGCAGTCTGAGCTACAAGACCATTCAGGCCCACCCTTGCTTCGTATGCTGGGGAAACTGAGGCCTACAGATGTTCTCATCGGCTTCCTGGAAATCTGGTACCTCCTACCATGGTTGCTAAGCCTCAGGCAAAGCCAGTGTCTATGAGGGTGCCAGGCACTGAATAAAGTCCCAGAAAGGGACTAGCTCCCCAGCCCTGCCCTGCGGTGGCCCAGCTTAGGGCCTGCCTACTGCTCCTCAGCCCTTGGTGCCTCACCACCCCACTTCCTGCAGCACAAGTTTCAAGTCCCCCCTTATCTGTTTTTTCTTCTTCTAAATCATTACCTGAGGATATGTTTTTATTGATTTTAGAGAGACAGGGAGAGGGAGAGAGAGAAACACTGATGGGTTGCATTCTGCATATGCCCCAACTGAGAATCAAACCCAAACCTGGGTACATGCCCTGACCGGGAATCAAACCCGAGACCCTTCCATGCATGGACGATGCTCCAATAACTGAGCTGCACCGGCGGGGCCCTCATGGCTTCTCGCCGAGATGTTCTCTGACCCTTCAAGGTTGTTCTGAGCCTCCACACCCAAACCCTTCCCTCCTTCTGTCCCTCCACTTCCCGTCCATGCTCCTGATCCTTCCCTTTCATTTCTCAACTTGTCCTTTTCCCACGTGGCCTCGGCAGCAACTGACAGAGCTGCCCACACCTCCTCGCACCCCGCTCCATGGCTACCAGGCAGCCGCTCTCCTGGGACCGCCTCCTCCTGCTGTTGCTCCATCTCCCTCTGTGGATCAGGGTGTGCCCGCAGCAGCCTCCTCTACACGTTCCACATTTTCCCACAGCGACTGTGGCCAGCACAACTCCAATAGCCGGGTCACGCTGAGGCCAGACCTTCAGCTGGAGCCTCAAGCTCTCTCTCCTGAGCTCCAAGCTCCTCTGGAACAGCCCACCAGCACCAACCCACCAGCCCCTCAGCCTCTGCCCATCTCTTCCCACCCAGGTTCCTTGGCTTTCCTGTCTGTCCAGGCACACAGGCGTGGACTCTGAGCGCCCATTTCTCCTTGGCATCCCTCTCTCTCACAGGCTAGGTGGCTCCGCCCAATGACCTCCTCCTCCTCCAGGCTGCGTATATCCCAGGCCCTCAGAGCCCCTCACCTACTCAGTGCAAGTCTCTTCCAACTGGTTTCTGCCTGGAGCCTCTCCTTCCTCTTAGTGACACCACCCTGTTCTCCCTTAAGAGAAATACCTTGACCGTCTTCCTGCCATCTAAAACGTCAATGGATTTTTCACTAACTACAGAGTGAACATCCCAGGCAGCGCAGGACAGGACTTCCACAATCTGGCCCCATTCTATGTTCCAAACTTAATTCTCTCTAGAAGCAAATCACTACCCCCACAGCCTCGAAATCTTGCTACAGTCAAGCCCTTTCTCCAGCCCTTACACCTTCCAGCCCCATGTCTCCCAGTATGCTCTTCTCCAAGCCTCCTCCCCTCCTCCCAAGTACAGTTCAAACACTTAAGCCCGCAGCATCTGACCCTGTGCTTAAATTTGTTTAGTCACAATTATTGTTTTATGGCTTACAATATTATCTTTTCTATAATCTGTGTCCCTCACTAGATTGTAAGCTCCTTGAGGCAAAGGATCATTTCTTACCAATCCTGCTAAACCACTTAGTACAAAGCAGAAGACTTTGCAAACAGAACAAAAATGTCAGCTGCACCGAATGAGCATCTGGAGTAAGTTCAAACCTCACATAGCTGGTGTGGACAATACTACTAGTCATTTTCTAACCATACGGTTTCCCCCTCCCAGGCCACAATTAACCCCAGGCTCCTATCAGCTCAGTGTGCAGGCCAGAGAGGGCACAGATGATGTTTACAGAGAAGCAGGAGGCATGTACTCCTTCCAGAATATCACAAATATCACAAACACGCAGCTGGTGGCTCTTCTGCCTGAGCAAATTCCAGTGCCAGAGCCTCAGGAAGGACATTCATCAGAGCCCCGACCGAGCCCGGGCGGCCTGCTGACAGGAAGATCTCCACAAGCTGTGTTGTTACACTCCGTTTTGGCTGCCTGCTCCTGAGCCCCCAGAGGCATCGGCGTCTGACAGAGTTCTGAGAGCTTGGGGGGCGGGGGGGAGGGCTACCCTACCCTGCTCTCCTCTGCATCAGCGTGATTTCCCAGAGAAGCCCCGGAGCGGGTATCTCAGGGGTCCTGGCAAACAGGGCGAAAGATCAGCATGCCGCCAGGAGGCAGGAAGCTGCAGGCACTCCAGGCCGCCTCTGCCAGTGTCCCCTTTCTCCTGTTCACCACTTTCATAAGGTGGGCTGACTGCTGCTCGCCGGTTTCACTTTATTTCTTTAGTAAATATTTATAGGGTCACAGAACTGCCCAGTTTCTAGCTGTGTAATACTGGAGAAGCCCTTACTTCTGAGAGATGCCTTCATTTATAGAACAAAGACAATCTTTGCTCTGCCTCCCTGATAGGTCAAGCTCACGTGAGAAAATGCATTCGAAAGAACTTTCTAAACTGAAAAGCTCTATGGGTGCCACTGTTCTTCTTATTATCTGGGCCAACCCTTTCATTTTCTAGGTACGGAAACCCAAGCTCAGAAAAAAAAAAAAAAAATCACATGGTAGCCGTCAGGGTGAGACTCAGGTCTCCTGATGCTGAGTACCTGCTATATGGCAGCCGGTTTACCAAGTGGTGACTGCAGGCACTAACCTTTAACAGACGGTCTCTCTCCTCTCTTCCACCTTGGATAGAGAAAAACCTCTTTGAAGGCTTTTAGGTTAAAGAAGAAAAGAGGGTTCCAGGGTACAGCGACATGCTGAGCAGTTGAGACAATTACGTTCCCCTCCCTGGCTTGGAGGACTTCACTCAGCCCAGGGCTACACAGCAGGCCAGCCTGGTGGGACCCTTGGAGGCGAGGGTGGTGAGGGCGGGTGGGGCCAGCGTCTCCGACAAGATGGTCCGCTGCGGATGATGCCGCCAACGAGGGGAGAGGCTCCACGAGCGAGGGGAGAGGCTCCACGAGCGAGTGAGGAGCTGGGTCTCAGGACGGACTGTCAAGGTGCCCGGGGTGGGGCGAAGGGGTAGGAACGGAGGAGGCAGGCTCTAGTTTGGGGAAGGTAGTCCCTGGCAATTCAACAGGAAACGTGCGGGGAGAGCGAAGGCACGAAGACGCCTTTGCAGGCATCCGAAGATCGGACGTCTTTTTTCCCTCTCCAGGACCCAGTCCCTCTATCAGAGCAGTTATGTTTATTCAACTATAATGTTTCCCAGGCCGGCACCTGGCCCCGGGCCACCGAATGGCCCCTTGGGAAAAGTAGTTCGATTCCGACTTCAGGTACGTTCTCTTTGCCCCGCCTGCCAGCGCCTCTCATTCTCGGGAACTCTACATTTCGGAGGGTTCAGCAAGCACCCGGAAAGCCGAGGCCGCCGGGAGCCCCCCGTCCGCAGGTGTGCAGCATCCCGGAGAGGCGTGGGACCGAAAGACTACATCTCCCGGCAGCCACCGCGCGCCGCAGTGCGCAGGCGTAGCCGCGCCTCGCCACCCCTCCCCCTCCTCCAACTGCTCCGGTCGGTCCGTTCCCGTATTCCCCCCCCATTAGTCCCAATGTCCCCTCCGCCTCGCCGGCGCCGCACACTCACCGCGAACGCGCGGCGTCGGGTACAGCCGCTGTGCCTTCTCCAGGAAGCGGAGCGCCCGGTCGGGCTGGTTGCTCTGGATGGCCTTGAGGGCGATGCTGATACAGCGCTCGGCTTCATCCTTGTTGGATTCCATGGCGGAACCAGAGCGCGGAACCGGGGCGGGGGAGGCCGGGCGAGCGAAGGGCTGCGCCAGCCGCCGGCGGCGCGTCGCGGGGCAGGCGTCGCGGGGTGATGACATAAGCCGCCGCCCCTCCTTCTCCGAGCGCCGCGCGAGGGCGGAAGCGCGGCCGTGCGCCGGGAGGAGGGCGACGTTGGAGCCGGGGCTGCGGGTGCGCGCCCGCGTCTCCGGAGGCCGGAGGGTCCTAGTCGGGGTCTTACTGCTGAGCGTGCTTGTGCTTCCAAGCTTGTACGTGCTTGCAAGCAGCGGTGCGTTTGAGGCGAAGGTAACTTGTTCAACAGGTGTCTACTGAGAACCCGCTATTTGCCACGGCGGCGCACAGTGGTGACCAAAGCAGAGCCCCTGCCCGCATGGGGCTTACGTTCCAGTGTGTGGGGGGGAGTGGGGAGACGTCCCATAAATATATACATTCAGGCAGTGACATAGGCTGTGAGGAAAAATAAAGGGATAGAGAGAAGGTACTATTTATTTGTTTTATTATTTTTTCCTCATTTTTTAAATTAAGGTATTATATGTGTACATACCTTACCAATCCACCCCCCCCTCCCATACATGCCCTCCCTCCCCAAAGTTTTTCGTCCATTGGTTATGCTTATATGCATGCATACAAGTCCTTCGGTTGATCTCTAGAAGGTACTATTTTATTTTATTTTTTTATTTTTAGTTTTTAAATATATTTTATTGATTTTTCACAGAGAGGAAAGGAGAGAGATAGAGAGCTAGAAACGTCGATGAGAGAGAAACATCGACCAGCTGCCTCTTGCACACCCCCTACTGGGGATGTGCCCGCAACCCAGATACATGCTCTTGACCGGAATCGAACCTGGGACCTTCCAGTCCGCAGACCGATGCTCTACCAGTGAGCCAAACCGGTTTCGGCTAGAAGGTACTATTTTAAATGGCCTGATAAGAGACGTTTCTCCCAGAAGCTTTGATTTGTTTATTTTCTTAGTGGCAGCTTACACTTCCTGGTGTCGTAACCTCTGGGGGTTCCACTCTCATCAGCTTGAGGCCAATGGCCCCCCCAGGGGAGGTATGGTATGGTGGGGCGATGGAAGTATATATGGGATGGTCAGAAAAGCTGAGGATGCTTTTGGAGGAATTGAGACCAGACCAGTGGTTCAGATTCACAAATTCAAGCTAACGCCCCCATTTCCTGGGCCACCAAGGCAAATGGGTGTCAATAAGAGATTGCCACCAAGCCAACTTGTCACTGGCCTTGGAGATGTTAGAACTAAAATTAAAATAAAATAATTAAAAAACATTCAGTGGTCACACGGAAGAAGTAATGTGTGAAGTTAGTCATTGACAGCTAGTGATTATGTGGCAGAATATTGGAAACAAAGCTGCCCATCAACAGGCAACGGTCAATAAATGATAGTACCCATTTATGTAGTACTATGCTTTATATAGATGGATGAAGAACTTGCTCTGTGCACTGGAAGAAAAACATCTTCAAGTGACATTCAATTAAAAAAAAAAAGCAAGCTGCAATAGTATACCTTCAGTGTAAGTAGGGAGAAGAAGAATATTCATATTAATACTATGTTTATATAAAAACCAACTCTGGCCCTAACCGGTTTGGCTCACTGGATGGATTGGCGACCTGCAGAATGAAGGGTCCCAGGTTCAATTACCGTCAAAGGCATGTACCTTGGTTGCAGGCACATCCCCAGTGGCAGCTGATCAATGTTTCTCTCTCCATGTTTCTAACTCTATCTCACACCCTTCCTCTCTGTAAAAGAATCAATAAAAATACTTTTAAAAAAAACAACATAAGAAACTAAAAATAGTTGATAAGGATTTGTAAGGAATCAGGTGGAAAGAATAAGGAGTAAGACTTTTTTCTGTAAACATGTTTATGTTACTCTGATTTTATTTCAATGATATTACTTATTTGTGGTAGGCAGAAGGCTCCCTAAAGATGTGCACATCCTAATCCTTGGATCATGTGGCTATGCTGTATTATATAACAAAGGGAAAGACTTTAAAAATGAAGATCGCCCTGGCCAGTTTGGCTAAGTGGATAGAGCATTGTCGTTGGCCCGCCAAATGAAAGGTCACAGTTTTTGTTGTTGTTGTTTTGTTTTTTAAATATAAAGTTGAATTCTGGAGAGAAATTCCAGGTGTGACTCTCTGGAGGAAGGGTGGTCCAGGCAAAAGGAGAAGCAAATGCAAAGGCTCTGAATCAGGAACTTCACTTGGTGAGTTATAGGACCAATAGGAGAACAGCCTCTCAGGGACATGCAGGGTTTCACCGTAGAGTGGACTTCAGGTCTGTCAGGCTCTCATGCCTACCATTCCAGAGAAAGCAAGTTGCCAGTGACCCACACTGCCAAATCCATGGGTCGTTTCTCAGTCCTTGTGTTGTTTGGCCTCTCCAGCAGGATTTGGTAAGAGGCCACTAGCGGTGAGAGTTAGGAGGCTACTATAATAATATAATCTAGGTGAAAATTAATGGTAACTCGGGTAGAACGATGGTGGAGGTGGTAAGTCAAATTATAGACACAAAAAATTTTTGCTGATAGATTGAAGGTGGATACGAGGGAAAGAAAGGAGTCAGGATGATTTCAAGATTTTTGGCCTGAATAAGTGGAAGAACAGTTTCTTTTTCCCAAAACTGAGGGAATGCTGAGTGAGAGCAGCACCTTCGTAGGGAGACTATTAAATGTTGGATTCAGTTTGTGGTGTCTTTTAGAATCAAGTGAAGATGTAGAGTAGAACTGCCCAAAGGGAGAAAATGGGGCTGGAAATATAATTTAGGGACTTATCGGTGTATATAAATGGTATTTAAAGCGATGGGACTAAATGCACCGAGGAAGCGAGTGTAGATGGAGAAGAGTAGAAGTCTGGTTACTGAACCCTGCCACAGCCACTGTTTAGAGGGCTAGAAGTCCAGGAAAGGAGAATGAAGAAGCAGCTCTGCCAGGTAAGAAAATTAGTTATTTCAGAAGCCAAGTGAAATAAATGTTTGCAGAGGGAGGAAGGGGTTGAAGTTTTACAAAGCATGCAGAGAGGCCAAGCTATATGAGGATCAGAAATGACCATGGATTTGACAATGTGGAGGTCAGTGGTGAGCTGATCAATATTGCTGTTGTGCTTTCACATCCTTGTCTCCCTCCCTCCCTCCCTCCCTCCCTCCCTCCCTCCCTCCCTTCCTCCCTCCCCCCCTTCCTCTCTAAAAATCAATAAACAGTACCCCTGGCTGGTATGG